AAATTAGGCTCCATGCTGAAATTGCAAAGTTTGAGACAGTAAAGTAATATAACTGCTTGTTAAATAACGGCAATAATTCAGTAGTGTGGAGAGTTTGAACAGTGTAGATGTCTGATTGGTTTATGGAATAGTTGGGGAATCACATTTTTTGTTTAGTTTTCTGCAGAATATTGTTTCAAATACTGCTGGTTTTTTAATCTTTACTTTAAAGTTGTGTTATTTATCTTTATCCTCAGGATTTCTTTAATTTTTCTAAATTTCTAATATTGATCATTGTCCAAAATAATGTATTTTTCCAATTAAAATTTTGTCTTGTGTTTTAAGAATGTTTGACTGTGACTTGTTGCATCAACATTTTGTTTTAGTCTGTGTTTAATAGTTATTTCAGTTTTTACAAAGTAGATTTCTCTGTTTTTCTGCTGTTAAATATAAAGAAATTACTTATTGGACATATTTATATTGGGTTACTTTGAGAACAAAATTACATATGTACACTCAAAATTTAATAACACAAAATGCAATTCTAATCTACTTTAATAGTGTTTTGCAAGAAGTTAGTTTAGAAAAGATATATTTAAACATGTTATAATGGTTATCTAGATAATTACTCAAATGACTGAATTTTTGTTTTTGTAAAACTTATTGATTACATAGAAATGTTTTTCTCATTATGTAACATAATCACATATCTATTTGTTCTTTCCTGTTGGCTCATTCACATAATCGCCTGCATTGATATTATAAATGTGTTTGTTTTGTATTTCATAATAATACATGTTGCTTATATACCTCTGAAGAAGGAAGAGCCACCTTCTGAGTAAGTTTAGGGTTTTCTCTTTTTTCATTATTTTAAGTGATATAATGTGTTTCTTAGTTTTATGAGGAGCTAAGCTTTAAAATGATGTAAAGAACTTGCCAATCATTCCTTGCACCACTTTTCTACCTTTACAAGTAATTCAGTGCTGCTAAACAGTTTTTGTAGAAATAGTTCCTAGCTTAGAGGCTTGAAATTATTTTTAGTTGGTGACTTTTTTATCTTGTTGATGTATTGGAATTGTATTATATTGTTTCTGTTTGAAAGCTGCAGAAATAGTTATTGTAGCAAGAAATAAGCTAAGGATATTTAAGGTTATCAATTATCTAGACTTTAGAATCAATCAAAGAACACTTTCTAGTTTAAACATTTTGTATGCAAAAGCCAATACCTGAATGTAGGATCTCTGACAAACAGGGCTAGTAGTCTACCACATGCCTATCCAAAATTATATGCCATCCCTATTTCTTAAGTTACTTCAAGTGCAAAGCTACATAATCTACATTGAAAATTTACAGTTAGAAAAACATTCTAATGTATTTCAATATTTTCTTGCAAGAAAGTAATTTAGAAGTGATATTTAAATATTATGTAATGATTATCTATTAAAACAATCCATAAGTTGCCTGAAAACAACAACACAAAATAATATGGTGATCATACACAAAAAGCTTTGTGTGTGAAAATAGATGGGGATGATTTATATTCTTGCGTAGCTTGGTGATAGAGCACTGGCCCTGCTAACAAGAGGTTCTGGGTTCAAGTCCCAGATCCAGAGCGTCTTTCACTTATTGGTTTTCATATATGAAAGTTTATGTTAAAGAGTACCTAGACCTAATAAGTCATTATCAGTTGTATGGAATTAGTATATTTTAACAGACAAAAACAACATGCCAAAAGAAAGTAGCAAAATTGTATATGTTAATGAACATAAAACAAGTTCAGATTGATTAGATGTACAAAATAGAACTTCTTGATCAAAAATAATAACAAAACGAAGTTTTATATTAATATCTTTTTTTTTTGGTTTCTTTTTTTAATTTTATACATCAATGAGCATACATAAGTTTCATAGGGTATTACTAGAATGTGAATGTTTTTTTTTTTGGGTCAAACTGTTGGATACGTATTGTTTTCTTGGCACTTGTGTATGATGTTAAAATAGTAAATAATACATAACATTAAAATAGATGCACAATTAAAAACATTTTCAATTCAGGCTATTCAGTGGTCTCTAAAATGTTGGCTTTACATGCTTTGATGTTTCAATGCCATCATCAGGAGTGACAGAACAGTTAAGAAATTCGCTGATGTGGTAATAATGAACCACAGTATTACTTTAAAACATAGTTATGATAAAATTAGAAAGGAATGTTTAATTCTGTCATGTATTCTAGTTAACTACTAGTTTATTTAAAGTGTTTAAACCTATTACTACTAGCTACTAATTTTTTAGTAGGTAACATTCCTCGTAATTTTTCATTCCAAAAATAAAACTAATAGATGAAATTGTTTAAAATTTGACAAGAACATTCTTAAAAGTATGTAAGTTCAGAAAAATAAAACTTTTAATTTTTATTTTTTCTACTATTTCTAATAAAAAAATTGTTATTTAATGTAGTTATTTGCACTCACACTTTAATAGTTCACCTGACAAGGTGATTTTTA